GTTTTTAAAGGTATCATAGAGAATTTTTTTATGTGAAATACCACTGCAAAAAAAATATTCTAACATGTACTGAATAAATTTTAAGATATGTTTTCCAAATTTGTTTACTGCATATTAAAAAATATTGAGGATTTTAAAATTACTAGATAATGCATAAATGATTATCTAATGATAGGAAATCTTATTTCAGCCATCTAAATGAGATTGAAACCATTACTGTGAAATTGTACAGAGAATCAGAAACAAAGAGGAAACGGTACAAGTTGATAGGTAGGTTGATTTTTAAAAATTTAGTTCCGAAATGGAAGACTGATAGGCAGTTGTAGCTTTTTACTCTTTTTCTCAACACTAAGACGTACAGAGAATAGAGAAACCTGAATAAGGTAGAAAACAATGGGTTATACATTGATGACCTAAGAACAAACTATGTTGTTTTCAGTTCAGGGATTGGAAAAAATTATGTGAAGTCATGATAATGGGTCATAGATATTTTAAATACTGATGTGTGGGTATAGATTGACAAATATTGTAATACAATAAAATATGAATGTGACTTTTAGCACCACCTTAATGAATATGCTCTAAATTAAACCAGCATTCTTCTAGTTCTAGTATTTGTATTGCTACATTAATTTTTTTCTTTTTTGGTTCCTCGTTTGTCTCTTTCCACAAGTTCCAAGCCACTGGGGTGGTGGACCATGGAAGCGTCCTTCTGAATTTGTTAATGATATAGGATACAAATAATGATAAAAACCATTGAGTTGAGAGTAAGGTGGTGGTGCACAAGGGTTATGGATTATGGGTTAACCTGTATGTAACTGCATGCTACTGTAATAATATTCTACAGTGCACAAAGACTATGGATTATGGGTTAACTCTAGAAAGTTTCTAGAGTACTCGCATGACAATATTATTATTGCTTTGTAAGTACTTCATTATTTTCAAATATACTGGTTTAGTGCAAACCTGTTTCATAACCCACATTTTAAAATACCAGTAAACTGTATTGTTTCATACCACATAACTTACATTTTAATGCATCTATACCTACTGACTAGTAATAACCTTCATTCTATACAGAAACTTCTTATACACAATGATCAGCTATTACTTGATATCACTCTTCATACACCACACACACACACATCTACCACTTTTCATCCATCACAAAAATGCCACACTCACAAATCTACCAACTGTATGACATCACTTTATATAATACCAGTTTTTTTACTCCTCACATATCATATAATAGATATTAAATCATATCTAATGGCAAAGAGGAAGAAATAGCACAAACTGTTGAAAGACCAAAATGTGTATTTTTGATACTATGCATGATAAAGGAAACATCTAACAAATAACACATTAAAATATTATATTAATGAGTTTTTTCCCTTGAATTAAAGAAATGGCAATGTCATCATGTTAACTATGTTAACCCACCAAAGCTATTTCAAAGACATGTTAAGGGTCTTAGTTTCAAAGTTCTTAATGTCGACAACCATGTGTGTGTGTGTGTAGGGGGGGATGAGGGATCCAAATCAAAGGGGTTAACTGCAATTTTGACTGCTCATTCCAAAGCTACAACATCCCCTTGGATAAACTCGTACAGAAATGGAGCATCAGGTTGGAGGACATTTTGTTATCTACACCAGTAGAACACCACACTGTAGAATATTATTACAGTAGCATACAGTTACATACAGGTTAACCCATAATCCATAACCCTTGTGCACTGTAGAATATTATTACAGTAGCATACAGTTACATACAGGTTAACCCATAATCAAAACTTTCATCTACGATTGAATGTAAGGCATGAAATAAACCAAATAAATAAATTCTGCCAAAGTAACTTCTCCACTTTTACTCTATACATGAGAGAGGCATTTTGATGTTGAAGAAAAAGATAATAATTTATTGATAAAAGAGTACTAACCTTTCACAAATATAAATGCTATAATTTCTTGCTCGAGTTTATATAGCAACACTATGTTTTTGTGAATAATAAGTAATTAGTAATATCATTACATTAATTCTTCAGTTTCTAGTCTGCCAAAATAGTTTGAAAATTGATCAAATACCTTGCTCATCTTTGTTTACAAAACATTCTGGAATAGTTTATGTCTGTACTTGAAACATTTATTGAAAACCTACCAATTTTTTTAACATCTTCTATCACAATGTTTGCAAGAAATTCCTTTGCCCTGTGTTCTTTCTGCATTATACGGACTAGAGTAACCGCTACGTCTTCCTATATTGAAGTGAGAGAAAATACAAGAATCAGTATAGTTACGAATGAAGTTAATATAAAAACTAATACGAGAGAGTTATGAGATAAGTTGGCACTTATTTTATACGGCCAAAATGTACACTGAGAGAAGTAACAAATTATATATGTCTAACAGATACATAATTAACACTTCAAAATATGCTTATCATCATATCCTTAATAAAATCTGTATAGTTATTTCTTATTAGTGAGCTAATCTAACACGAAGCCAGTTCTGGATATTTCTGAATAATTATGTTGAAATTATAATTAGCACAGAGGGTTCCCAACTGATGTTCAATATATTCTAACTGTCATATGTTATGGTTTTATTGTGTATTCGTTTATATTATAAACATTTTAGTTAGTTTGCTTTCTAGAATTAGCCTCATTAATTCATAAGTACTTTCTTTAGTTCTGATCTAGTTAATTTTTTTTTTATCACATTATTCGTAATACTTGTTGTAAGCTATATTTTTGTGTTTTAATTTAGATGTTTGCTAGAGGGAGCTTGTGATCACAATGAAATTAAGATCTATAAAGTTTGTGAAAGATAAGAATCGAGAAGGTTATGATATAAACACAAATGATTCTATGAAAGTAAACGTCAGTTAGTTCAGTGTCGGAAAAGTTATTTCATGTTAGAAGTAAGAGGTATTACATCTACTATGCTATGCAGTTACTGGATC